CCGGGCCCGCCGCCGCCGCCTTGCGGCCCGCGGACGACGAATCCTACCTGACGCGTCTGTACGGGAGAGCGCCCCGCAAGGGGCCGACGCCGGGCCTCAGGAGGAGCCCGCCGCCTCGCTTCAATTCGACGGCGCCGCCCGTCAACAGGAAGCCGCGCCCCCAGGCGGTGGAAGGCGCCAAAGGTCAGACGTGTTTGGAGGAGGGGGGGGTCTCATTGTGTCCACAACATTTAAATGAATCAGATTACCCCACCCCCCCAATTCTTTTTTTTGGGGGGGGGGGGCTCTGATACGGGTAACAGATGAATTCGAAAAGTATAATGACTAAAAGAAGCCGTTGAGATGCTGCCCGAGAGAGATCTGTGCCCTTGGCGGGGCCCTTCCACGATCCAAGTAGCGCTTTGGCCCCATCTTGTGGTGCCAAGGAATTAGGTTGAAGTGAGGTGAGGAGCACCCTTTGGACAAAAGTAGTGCTCTTCCTGCACTTTGTCGCGTTAGCAGAGGACTGGCTCGTGTCCGTGGGAAACAAGAAGTTGCTCTCGTCACCTCTTCTCAGGCGCCACGATGAAAGGCTCCCAGCCGAAAGCGGCGGCGCGCCGGTCCTCCCGCCTGCCCTCTGCGGAATCCGCCGACCTTCCCGTGGGCCCTGCCGAGGTTCCCTCTCCGTCTGTGGCCATCCCGCTCGGTCAGTAACACGGTTGACGACGCGCAAATCCACCGCAACGTTTTTCAACCTTATCCCGTTGCATCCCAAGCGCATCCGAGGATAGGCCCCTCCCCCAGGTGTCGGCACAACGTGTCCTCACCTCCTGTCGCATTTTCACTTCTGGCCCACGCGGAGGCGGAGCACGAGCCACCCACAGCAGGCCCTCCTCCCGTTCCCACTCCAGATCCTCCCGCTCCGGATCCTCCCTCCCAACCAAGTCCCGGACCCCTGGAGGAGGACCGGGATCTCGCCGCGGAGTCGGGAGCTGCGGCGGATGAAGGACTCCAGGTGGGTCTTGCGGTCGAAAGGGGGCCTGACCTTCAGGAACTTCACATTTGCTTGAGTTCACCACCCAAGGAACCCTGCAACCCAAACGGATTTTCCACGACGTGTGCCTTCGAGCTGGAACTCTCCCAAATGAGGCCCAAGTGGCCACTTGGCATCCGGGCGGCAGACCTCCTTTGTCTTTTTGCCAGGTCCAACCGGACTCGCCCGCGGGTCTCGAGCAAGAGCAAGCGGAGCCACCGGATGACCGCGACGCGCGGCCCGCTCCATCCGGCGCCGCGGAAAGCGTGGCGAGGACGAGCCAGGACGATCCGGATGAAGGCGGCGAGATCCCCGGGAGGGAATTCCTGTCCGTCGCCGATGCGGTACCGACCACGTCGTACATCTGCCATCGTGTCGCCGCTTAGCCGCCATCTGACAAGGCTCCACATTTGTTCACTGACGCCGAGCGGAAGCCTGATCCCACCTGCGACCTCATTCCAGGGGCAGGAGGAGTCCGCCGGGGACGAGGGAGCGTTTCACCAGGACGGCGATCCGTCTCCTCCTCCGCTCGTCTACCGGGGTCCGGTCCGCCCGGCCGAGAACCGCGGCGCCGTCTCTCCGCCTCCTCGCAGCTCTGCGCCAAACCTGGACGACCGCACGCTCGACCGAATGGTGCAATGGTGAGACGCAACCCGTCTGACATTCGCCGACGGCTTCGTGTTCCGCTTGACACGCGATTGCGGAGCCGTAAAGTTGACCGACGGACTCGTCCGAACAAGTTTAGCGAATAATCCAGATGAGGAAACGATCAAACTCCCGCCGCCGCGGTTGACTCTGGCGTTGCGTTCAGGTTGGAGCAGCAGCTGATGGCGAGAATGATCCGCGGGCGGTCCCCGCCTGCGCTCCCTGAGCAGAATGAGCCGTCGGACGCCGAGGAGCCGAGTCTCGCCTCGGACGTCGGTGAGCGAAGACATCTGGAATCCGCTCCTTTCCAGAGCGGCCGGATGGTGAAGTTTGCGCTGTGCTTGCGTGCCGCAGTGGAGGCGGCCGGCGGCGGAGGTCTTCAGTTCTTCGTGGATGCCGGCGTTCAAGTGGACTCACCTTTGGTCAAGGAGCTGGTGAATGAGGTTTTGTCCGAGATGGTGGACCAGGCGCTGGCTCCGAGGGAGCCGCCGGTTCCGGGACCCGCGCCGGATCGAGGACCGAGGCCGGGACCGAATCCTGGCCCGGGGGGACCTTCTTCCTTCCGGGGGGAAACCGTTCCTGTGGTCCCCGCGGTTCCTGTGGTGGTGACACCTCTGCCCACCCCGCTTCCGAGTCCCGCTGCGTCCATCGAAGAGCCCCTCCCTCTCTCCACGCCCGCGCCGTCTGAAGCCACCAGCTTGCCGATGGACGATTCCCCGCAGCCGAGCGTCACGGCCCCTCCAGGTGGTGCAGTCCTCGCGCTTCTCGCATTAGCAGCATTAGCGCTCGCGGCGAATCGTCGTCATAGCGTTTGCAGGAGTCACCTCAGTCCTCGCACTCGGCGCTTTACGAGAAGCACACATACTGGTGCCTTGAGGTCGGGGTTCACTCTCGCGACTCCAAACGCTTGCTTGTCAAGTCCGTTTTCTCCACTGAAATGAATGCAAGCGCCATTAGTTGTGAACTCAACTCAACGCAAAGTGCATTATTTCAGACGACAACAAAAGCAGCGCCCTATAGTGACATCATCGAATCGAGTGGAAAGAATTGATCAGCTCTGGCCTCAATTCGTTTGCCGTTGCGCTGCTCCTTCTGGCCACCTGGCGGCAGTGTAACACACATCAGCCCGAGATACCAAGCCGGCCCAAATTTCTCAGTGGTCTGCAGTCAAACGAGTCGTCGGCAACTCATAGGTTGGGTCGCTCGCTCGTATCTCAAGGCGGCCCCGCTTAGCGATTCGCAAGTCAGGAACGAGCCAGCGATAGCCAACGCGGTCCCGAAAGCCAAGTGTGGTCAAACGATTTGTTCTCTCCGCTGACTGCCGCTTTGTGCCTTCAGAGCCTGTAGCCACGCCCATCCCCAGCCCCGAACCGAGCCCCCCCGCAGAAATTCCCCCTTCCGTCCATCAAGTCGCCGACGCGCCGTCCTCGGGGAAAGCCAGCCCGCCGTCGGACGACAAGGAAGAGCACCTGGACACCCGATCACCACCGCCGGAAGCGCAAGTGGAAGAAGCCGTTCGCTCGCCTCCGCGCGCCCCCTCCCCGGCGGCCCCCCCACCTCAGGACGATCCGAAGTCTCCCTCCGCTGCTTCCGATGACAGCACCAGCACCGGCAGCAGCTCAAACAGCAGTACGGTGACTGGAAGCGAGACGGGCCTCAAACTGGTCTCGGAAGGAGAACTGCTGATCAGCTTCAAGCACGCGGATGCCACGACGGGTAAAAGACCCAAACCGCCTTCAGACTTCACAGTCACCAAAATAAATCATTTCCTTCTTCAGAAGCGGACACTTCCTCGAGTTCCCTTCAAGATGAGGTGAGGAAAAAAAAAATCTCCACTTGTCTGGCTTTTTTTTTTTTTTTTTTTTTTTACTTCCTGTCTGTTTTTGATCCCTCCCTGTCAGCGCATTTGACAACTTCCTGTTTGCTTCTGATCACGTCCTGTCTGCGTTTGGAATTTGTTGTTAAATCACTTCCTGTCAATCACTCGCTGCCTTCTTGGTCACACCCTTTCTATCACAATTCACTTCCTGTTTGCCTCATTGATCACTTCCTGTCTGTGACTAATCACTTCCTGTTCCTTTTCTAGGACCTTGAGCCCCCCAGTGAAGGACAGGTCAAAGTGCACATGATGGAGATAGCGCACACTGTCCAAGGAGAGAGATCACTGGTACACACACACACACACAGCGCACTTGACCCTCTGACCTGCTGTGTTTTTCGGGGCAGGAGGAGGAGGAGCTAAGCTCAGGTGAAGTGTCGGACTCGATCGCTCCTCAACTTGATCGAAAAATCAATCACTCTGGAGGTGTGACATCACAGCAATGACTAGCGGTGACATCATAGATGATGTCATTGAAGTGACATCATCACGGTGGTGGCGTAACACTGATCTCATCATTCAACAGAGGCCATTTTGGAGCCGACCAATGGCGGCGTCGACTTGGACCTGACTTCGGCGGCCAGTCACATGCCGGCCTCCGACCTCCAAAGTGAACCCTCTCAGGTCTCGCGCGCTCACAGACTGACACACTTGAACACGCTCGCGCATCCCAACACGGCTCAATATGAAGTGTATGTATGTGTGTGTGTGTGTGTGTGTGTGTGTGTGTGTGTGTTGACAGGTGTTGCCGTTCAAAAGGTCGAGCCCACAAGCAGGTAGGAAACGCACCGCGGCGCTCTTTTCTTGTCAAAGGTGCTTTTCACACACAGCAACATGCCAACAAGTCCCACGTCACCGTAACCACACAAACTCATCATACGTGACCTTTTATTTTCTGATGTGTGATACGAGTAAGGCGGCGCGGCGGGTGGTCGACCGGTCTGCACCTTGGCCTCACCTTGCAGAGGCGCGGGGTTCGATTCCGGCTCCGGCCCTCCTGTGTGGACTTTGCCTGTTCTCCCGCATTCCGAAAAACATGCTTGGCAGGTTAATGGGACACTCCAGATTGTCCCGAGGTGTGACTGTGAGTGCGAATGGTTGTTCGCCTACGTAGCCGACCAATGGCGGCGTCGACTTGGACCTGCCTTCGGCGGCCAGTCACATGCCGGCCTCCGACCTCCAAAGTGAACCCTCTCAGGTCTCGTGCGCTCACAGACTGACACACTTGAACACGCGCGCGCATCCCAACACCCAACGCGGCTCAATATGAAGTGTGTGTGTGTGTGTGTGTGTGTTTTGACAGGTGTTGCCGTTCAAAAGGTCGAGCCCACAAGCAGGTAGGAAACGCACCGCGGCGCTCTTTTCTTGTCAAAGGTGCTTTTCACACACAGCAACATGCCAACAAGTCCCACGTCACCGTAACCACACAAACTCATCATACGTGACCTTTTATTTTCTGATGTGTGATACGAGTAAGGCGGCGCGGCGGGTGGTCGACCGGTCTGCACCTTGGCCTCACCTTGCAGAGGCGCGGGGTTCGATTCCGGCTCCGGCCCTCCTGTGTGGACTTTGCCTGTTCTCCCGCATTCCGAAAAACATGCTTGGCAGGTTAATGGGACACTCCAGATTGTCCCGAGGTGTGACTGTGAGTGCGAATGGTTGTTCGTCTACGTGTGCCCTGCGATTGGCCGGCAACCGGTTCAGGGTGTCCCCTGCCTACTGCCCGAAGACAGCCGGGATAGGCTCCAGCGCCACCACCCCCGGCCGCGACCCTCGTGAGGTTAAGCGAATCAGAAAATGGATGGATGGTACAATGAAGCCCTGTGTCTTTGTCCTCTGGCGTCGACTCCTTGAACGACCCACCAGGGGGCAGCATACTTCAATATTAGCGCGTCCTTGTGCTCATGCGTGTTCCGCCACACCGCCTTCACTTAGCACTTGCAGTGTCAGCTATTCGACAGAGATACCAGAGTTTACACTGTGTGTGTGTGTGTGTGTGTGTGTGTGTGTGTGTGTGTGTGTGTGTTTGTTTTCAGGCCAACCGGAAGTGAGCATCAGAACCTCGGCGGCCCCCGAGAAGATGTCGCCATCCTCAGAAGACTCAAGTGATTTCTTCTAACGTACTGTCGAGGCGCCGAAGGCCCGCTGATGACATTTGACAATGTGGTGGCCGGCGGCTTTAGGACCCTGCAGCCAGCCTCATCGGAGGTGGGGTGTGGCGGTCTACCCGGAAAAGGTTTTAGCTTCAGGAAGTAGTTTTCTACCACAATAAAATGTGGCGTAATAGCTTCATGATGGACATTGTTGATTTTTAATTAGTCATTTTTATCATTTCTTACGAATAGCAATAAAGATGGAATTATTTAAACGGCGTGGTTTGTAATGTGCCTGAACAAAATCAGTTTGTTCTTGTTCGTTGAGCTCATCGCACGAATGAGCTTTTTTTTGTTTCTCTTCTGCAAAAAAAGTATTGGATGTGGAATTAAATAATCGCACTAAGTCATGACGATTGTCTTCTTTGGGTGATGATTGAGGCCCTGTTACCGTGGCAACAGTATTTTTTTCTTGACATCATCGTTATCGCTCGATCAATCGACTGTTTTGAACCCTTTCGCCGCAATTCAGCCAAAGGTCACAATCGACGCGATCTGCTATCCTTAACCTGTGCTAAGACCGCAGCTCCGCTTACCTTTTGGGATTGACTGACTTCATACAGACCGGGAAACATTCCTACAACAATGATGACTTTTTGCACGCACGCGCGTCGGATGAATTGTGTGTGAAGAATGTTGTCCCTGTTGTGTGTGTGTGTGTGTGTGTGTGTTTTGCATGTCACTTCTATGCTGTCATGGCAACAGACTAAGGCAAGAATTCATCTGAGGGTGTGGCCTGAGTTTGCAAACAAGGCGAGGCTTGCGCACACACTCAAATTCGCACACAAACTCGACGGCGTTGCGCGGCGCAGGTAAGGTGAACTTATTCACTTTTATCGCTTCTTTGCTTTGATTGAGTTCAAACCTGATCGTTCGTTGCCGTCACGATCAGCTCATGATGGCAGGAAAAAGGTGAAAGAAAGAAGTTGAAAGGTCAACTTCTTTCTTTCATCTTTTTCCCCATTTTGGATGAGCTGTCTCATTTTGTTTGGGTCAGCGCCAGCCACCGCGGTTCCGAATATTTTGCCTGCAAGGTGGTCAAAATATGAAGGAGCCGCCGTCGCTCGGCCACACAGCTCAGGTGGGGTGTACCTAATCAAATGTCTGTCAGGCGTGTGGGTGAGAGAGACGACACCCACTGCTTGTACAAATCGCACCTTCTGGAGCAAATATTTGGAAAAGTGGCCAATCGTAAACACGACTTGCTATTCGGCCTAATAAAGTGACCATGAGAGGAGTGAGTGTGAGACAGAGCGATGACACACATTTTTGCTAGCCACTCAAACCAGTTTGTATTCTTCTTCAAGTTGGCACTCGTCTGTCTGCTTCACCACAGAAGATGGATGTAAGTCACGTTTTTGTCTTCTCGGTGTCTAGGAACCTGTGTGTGTGTGTGTGTGTGTGTGTGTGTGTGTGTGTGTGTGTGCGAGCAAGCATGTGTGTGCGCGTGCGTGTTCGTAGAGAACATTCCGATGGACGCACCACACCCTCTTACGGACATCTGGTGAAGGTGTGTGTGTGTGTGCCGTGTTCACTTTTTTTTGTTGTCGTTTATCTGTCAGCTCTCCGACGCTCTTGACGATGGCTCCCCCTCCGGGGCCGGCACCCAATCGTCAGGAAGCATGGCTTGGCCGCAACAGCCCAACCGGCCTGGTAAGTTCTGCCGGGGGTGAGATTTGACGATCGTGACGAGTCCTTCGCCAATTTCACCTCTGTCACCAGGTGGGCCCGCCAACCCCACCTGGGGTGGAGGTCCGTGGCCTCAAAATCAGCCCGCAGCTGGAGTCGCGGGTCAGTGGCCCGGAGGGCAGCCCGCTCCCGCCGGCGGAGGGGCAGGTTGGTGGCCCGGACAGCAGCCCGCAGCCGGCGGAGGGGCGGGTCAGTGGCCCGGAGGGCAGCCCGCAGTCGGACGTGGCCTCAAAATCAGCCCGCAGCTGGAGTCGCGGGTCAGTGGCCCGGAGGGCAGCCCGCTCCCGCCGGCGGAGGGGCAGGTTGGTGGCCCGGACAGCAGCCCCCAGCCGACGGAGGGGCAGGTCAGTGGCCCGGAGGGCAGCCCCCGGCCGCAGGCGGAGGTCAGTGGCCATCCCCGTCAAAAGGGAGCGGGGACTGGCCCGCTCCATCTCCCGGAACGGCAGCGAACACTTCTCTGGTACCGCAGCACACACGCGTCTCAACTTGCGCGGAACAATTTTGATCGGTGATCTTCCCAAAACAAAGGACTCCTGTTTGTGTTCCAGACGGTCCCGTACAACCAAAAGATTCCCAACGGACTGAGAAGCGGAAGCGTCATTCACATCAAAGGAAGCATCAAACCCAAAGCTGACAAGTCAGTCGGACGACAATTTTGACACGAACGACGATAGTGATGACGACAGTGATGTCTGAGATTTAGACAGCGGAGACCGCGGAACCACGTGCGCCAGAGGTCGGCCTGAAAAAGTGTCCGCGGTGGGGTGTGGCTAGGGTCCGGGGGGGGTGTGCCGGGCTCTGCTCGGGCAACGCTTCGGGACAATGTCTCAGATGCAAGGGGGGCGGGGTCCGGATGTTATCCTCCGCCGGCCTTGATGGCACCAAACCAGATTGAGATGCAGTCCTTTATTAGATTCTCGATGGGGTCAGGACGGAAGGGGGTCGGCAGTCCCATGGTGAGCTGCACTCCTTGGTGCAGCTGACGACTACCGCTGCGGTGCCAGACCGGGCCGAGATTTCCAGATTTCCGCGGTCCCGGGTCATCAGGGTGAACAACGAGGGGCTGAGGACGGAGCCCTGCGGCTCGCCGGTGTTCGGGGGCAAGACACTGAGGATGTTCCTCTTCACCCTCTGCAAAACTGGCTTCGGTCAACGAAGCAAGTGCACCAGGCAGTCAGTCGCAAGGAAGACGATAGTGACGATGATCATCATGACACGAACAACGATGATGATCTGAAACGAATGAGAACGGCAAACAAGATCAGGACGATAATAACGATGACGGTGACATGAGAATATAATGAAATGAGAACAGCGAAGACGATAATGATGACGCAATGACGGATGCCGATGACAAGGAGAAAGCGTTTGATGCTCACGGTAATCGTGACCAACCAAACGATAGCGACGCAGATGACGACTGCATTGTGGCTGGTGCCAAGAAGCGCTAACGTGGCTGCGCGCTGCCTTCAGGGTGACGGTGGACCTTTCCACCGACTGCGATCTGGCGTTCCACTTCAACCCTCGATTCAACGAGAGCGGCAGGAAGGTGATCGTGAGGAACAGCAAAATCGGCGGCAGGTGGGGCAGCGAGGAGAGGGACCTGTCGCGCTTCCCCTTTACGCCCGGCGAGCCCTTCGAGGTGAACACGCGCATGCCCGCCAACCAGCCATGCGATAACGATGATGATGATGATGAAGATAATAGCAACGCTAACAAAAACATGTGTATTTGCATGTGCGTGTGTGTTTCTGTGTGTCCGTGTCTATATTTGCGCACTTGAATTTCTGTGTGTGTGTGTTTCAGTTGAAGATCGAGTGCACGTCGAGCGCGTTTGTGGTGTCCGTTCAAGGCTCTCACCTGTTGCACTTCAAGCACCGCGGTGGAAACCCCGGTCAGATCCGAAGTCTGGACATCTACAACGACCTGTCCCTTTCGCACGTCAGCATCCAGTGACCTCTGACCTCTCACCCGCTGACCTCTGAACGCAGGCCGTCAACACCTAGCGGAGTTTGAAAAATAAAGTCGGCTCGAAGCCCATGACACTTGTTTGTCAGTTTATCTGGAAAAGAACATGAGAAGGGCGCAAGCAAGACAAGGGGGGAAGAAGGTAAAAAAGAAGGGAAGGAAAGAAGGTCGAAATGAAAAGCGGGGAAAGAAAAATCTGGAAAGGGAGGATGAAGGAAGGAAGCATCATCGAATGCTTGAAAAACAAATATCCAATTCTCCTCACCTGAGTTTGCCTCCATATGTTATGTGACAGACACTTGTTGCTCTTCATGGAAAAAAGCACTTTTTCACAACCTCGCTCTCTCTCAAACCTGAACGCTACGATGAGATCGATTCTCACAGTTTTTGCTATTTGTGTCCCCTACCGTTTGCGCCCCCCCCCCCCCCGCGACTATCGGGGGCCCACTGTCAAAGCGTTTTGCGGCTTGCGGACTACTCCCACGAGGGGGCACTGCAACCACTGCAATGTTGAATGGTTTATTTACCAACAAACTGTGTGTGTGTGCGTGTGTGTGTGTATTATATATACACGGTTCTCCCCGTGCCTGCGTGGGTTTTCTCCGGGTACTCCGGTTTTCTCCCACATTCAAAAACATGCATGACAGGCTGATCGAACACTTCAAATTGTCCCTCGGTGTGAGTATGAGTGCGGATGGTTGTTGGTCTCCGTGTGCCCTGCGATGGGCTGGCAACCAGTTCAGGGTGTCCGGGGACAGCTGGAATAGGCTCCGTCACGCGCCGCGACCCTTGTGAGGATGAAGCAGATCAGAAAAAAAAAAAGTATCACTCCACGAAACGAAGAAGAAGCGCTCGAGCGCAGGTGCGTGCGATCTTCTTCACTATAGACGATCTTCGTACGTCCGATGACGTCACGGCGCCGCGGCTCCAGCTGGAGGTAAAAGCCAAAAGCGAAGACCGAAGTCAAGGTCTCGTCCGTCGTGGAAGTGCCGCGCGCGTCCCAAGCCTTCTTGGGAGGCCCCGAAGCGCCCCCCCCCCTGCCCCCCCCCCTCGCCGGCCGATCAAGGACGGATCGGGATCAGGTGAGTCGGCCTGTCTGTTGTTGGCCTCTCGCGCCTGTTAGCTTGCGATGCTAACAAACATTGCGCACATCGATCTAGCCCAGTGACGGACGCGACCCCGCCGACCGGCAGCCAGGTGTGCGCCGGTATCGGGCGTCCCCGGCGCCATTGGAGCGTGCACACCTCGCAAGGGTGCGCGGCTCCCCCTTTTCGAACGTTTGGGCCTTTTCAAGTTGACTTGCGCGTTCGGTGTACGCATGTCAGGACGATCGCCACCTCCCAGGGCAGTGCGCAGAGCTCGGTGTTGCGTGCAAATGGCGAACTCGTCGGGAGAAGGCGAAGGAAGGGACGAAGGGGGCGGTTGAAAAAAAATGGCATAAGGAAAAAAAAGATGAAAAAGTTGAGGAAGGAAAAGAAGCCAAGAGAAAATGAAGGAATGACGGAAGGGACGAAGGAGAGGAGAGAAGCGAAGCAGGTGGAAAGAGGAACTCAGTGGAGGAAAAGTGAAAGTCAGGAGAATGAAAGAAGGAAGCGTGAAGAAAAGATGAGCGGAAGAGCAAAGACAAAGAAATGCCCATGAGGACGAGTGCCTGTTGATTTTTCGCCGAACTTTACTCTGCGCTCACTTTGTCGCAAATGTTGTTGACGTCAAGAGTAATCTCCGCGCCGTAGCGACGCGTCACTTCCTGCTGATTGCCAAATGGTGAGTGTCCCGCCTGAACTTTGAACCCTGCAGGTCATCTCCCGTTGACGAGCCCTCGTCTCGCTCACCTGGCGCGACATGTGACAAGCCGCCAGTCATACCGGGCTCCTCCTCCTTTGACCCTAAGCCAATCGAGGCGCCATCTGGAGGTAAAGCCTGCCTCTTGGCCCCCCGCGGTCGTCCAACATGGCGGCCTTGCCAAGTTGACGTGCGCTTCCCCGTCTCCAGACCCGCCATGCACGTCAAGCCGCTGCGCTCCGAGCTGTGCGTGGATTTGTCGGGATTTCGCACGCCGCCCCGGGCCGTCAGCGGTGGCGGGCGGCGCCCCCTCAGCGCCATCGCCGGCAACACGCTGAGGGGGCGGGCCGCCCCCCCGCCGCTCTCGCTTTGTCCGGCCAAAGACGATCCCGCCGCCTTCCTGGACATGTGCGCCGTCATCAAGCCGGGCCACGTCCGCGAGAAGATCGCCCTCTTCGCTCCGGACCCCGGCTCCGTCCGTGCCGGCCGCGCCCCCTCGACCCGGGCCGGGAAGGTGAAGAGCAGCCGTCGGGAAAATGGCGACGCCAAGCGACGGCGGAGGTCCGCGGGTCACAAAAACCTCCGGCGGGATCCCGGCGCCCTGCCGGGAAACGGGCCGCCCGCCGGCGCCTCCGACCAGAGTTTGACGGAGGGGGCGGAGCACCAGGTGTCTGTGGGCGCCATGGTGGCGTTCCTGGAGCAGCGCCGCCGCAGCGGCGCGCGCCACGCCAGGCTGGCCATGGCCAGAATGCCGCCCCTGCCGGAGGACCCGGAGAGCGTGCGCGTGTCGGACGTGGTCGCCAAGCTGGAGTGTTTGCAGCGTCGCGACGAGGGGGGCTCGTTCACAAGACCGAGGAGGTGGGTGGGCCGCCTCCTGCTGACCGCCGGTCCCGCTCTGTCCCCTCTGCCCTCGCCATCCGCTGACACTCGGTGCGACGACCCGACCGAACGCTCCCCGTCGCCCCCTCCGGGTGGCGCCGCGGCTCCGGAGACGCCGCCCTCGCTCGGGGAGACCGAGCCCCCTCCCGGGTTGTTGTTTCTCTCCGCGCCCTCGCCGCCGTCTCCTCGCATCCGCTCGTACGAGTCGGAGGCGGAGCAGGCGGAGGCGGCCGATGACTTTGCGGAGATGAGGCGGCGGTTGCGCGAGCTGCTGGAGCCGCCGCCCACTCTGGCGACGCTGCCGCAGGACGTGCTGGTGGGCGTTTTCGTGCTGTTGCCCACCCGCACCCTGGCGGCCCTCAAGTGCACGTGCCGCTACTTCAAGTCGGTCATCGAGAACTACGGCGTGCGGCCCGCCGACTCCCTGTGGGTGTCGGACCCCCGCTACCGCGACGACCCCTGCAAGAAGTGCAAGCGGCGCTACGGGCGCGGCGACGTGTCGCTGTGCCGCTGGCACCACAAGCCGTACTGCCAGGCGCTGCCGTTCGGGCCCGGCTTCTGGCTGTGCTGCCACCGCCTGCGCAGGGACGCCCCCGGCTGCAACGTGGGGCTCCACGACAACCGCTGGGTGCCCGCCTGTTGCGCCGTCGGCGTCGCGGTCTGCCGCAGGAGCGCAGACGACTGAGCTGCGCGGCAACGTTTTTAGCCCCCCCCCCCCGACTTTTGTTGGTGTTTACGTGTACATAAATATGACTTTTAAGAAAGCCAAGTGGATGTATTGAAGACGCTGCAATAAAAAGACAGATTTAAAAAAAGAAAAAGTACTTTTTGATAAGCGCCTCTAACTTGTTGGCTTGTCCTTCTTGGATTTAATCTGAATGAAACCAAGCGAACGGTTACCTGCGCTCGCGGCTATTTCAAAGTCTGATTGTGACATATCGCGTCCGTCTGACCAACCTGCGTTATTTTTAACGGACATTTTCTGACTGCATTCACAAGTTTGGACAAAGTATGTGCGTGGGGGCATCGTACATGGAATTTAATCTGAATGAAACCAAGCGAACGGTTACCTGTGCTCGCGGCCAAGTCTGATTGTGACATATCGCGTCCATCTGACCGACCTGCGTTATTTTTAACGGACATTTTCTGACGGCAGTCACAAGTTTGGACAAAGTACGTGCGTGGGGGCGTCGTACATGGCAGCCAAGATTTTCCCGAGTGGGATTCTGGAGCGGAATGAGTTCCACCTTTACAACGAGGCACTTGGATCCTCTGCCACCGTGCATTCAAAATGATCGTTTATCTCTCCGCCTTGACAATATCGAGCACTCATCGCTCGCGATGACAACCGCGACGCTTGAACTGAGGTACTTTTTCCCCTTAGCATGCAGCTTACGCGGCTCGGCCCGCGAGACATGACGCTTTTTGGTCGCGTCCGCAGTCGGGGCTTCATGAACGAAAATGCACAAGCTCAACTATTTTGGCTCCGCCTCCGGACACGGTTCACACCAAGTCCTCATCAAGTCCTAGTTCGGTTTCATCGAGCCCCTTGCAACGTGACGCGATTTGTCACGTCGCCCCCGTGTGGCTCTGCGGGGCGCCGCAGGCAGGCCGGCCGGCGGTCAGCTCAGTGTTGGGAGGTGACGGCTGCGATGTCGTCCAGAAGCGTGAAGTAGTTGTACTTGATGTCAAAGTCCATGTCGTACCAGAAGTTCACTAGAAGAAAAAAAAAAAACGTGCAGACGTCTAGTTTTACTGGACTGCACATGTGTGTGGTCACAGACAAATCCCACGTGTGTTTTAACACGCTCCTGATTGATTGATTGATTGATTGCTTGTCTCGTCATTTGTGCAACCGACCCGCAATGCAGCCGTGCGACTGTCTGACGTGGTGGAACCACAAGGACGGCAGGTAGAGCATCTCTCCCGCCTTCACGCTGCAGCGCAGCGGTCTCGCTCGCCCGTACGCGGGGTAGCGCTCCAGGTCCGGGGCCAGCGGGTCCACGGGGATCCACGGCACCTGGCGGCGGGGAGAACAGCGGGGGCCGCAGGGTCAGAGAGGACGCGGGAGCCACTCGCCGCCGCTCGGACGCACGCACCTTCTCGCCCTCGCTCCGGTCCACCACCTCAAAGTCGCCGTCGTCCTTCTGGCGGTAGACGGCGGGCTGGTAGAGGCCTGGTGGCGCATGGTTACCGTGGTTACCAGAATCCGGCATCGAAAGTAGGCGACGGGATGTTACCGTGTAAAGGCTGGTACACCGCGGGCACTGTTGTTACTGTACTTGCTGTTGCTATGGTTACCGTGCATGTTACCAGCCCTGTCGGTTACTATGTTCCGATGGTTACTGTCTAGTATGTTACAAAACACGAACCCGGGCGCAAAGGCGCATTTGCTACCTTCACCGACACTCGCGACCGTGCGCTTGTCGTTGGGATACGGGCTTCGCTGTCAGGGCTGTTACTATGGCGACGGAAAGTGCCGTGACGTGTCACGATGGTTACCGAAGGACCGGCGCGAGCGTGAGTGTTCGCACTGTACCTGTGGTTACCGTGGTTGCAGTTACCAAAGTGCTTGCTATTATGGTTAGCAAGTAAAGGCTGTTGCTACGGTTACTTGGGTGACTGTGATTAGCGTAACTGTTAGTTAGCCTGCTATGGTTAGCACAGAGGTTGTTACCACAGTTGCTATGGTTACCATAAGGAATGAAGGGTCTGTCGGTGGGTGGCAGCAGGATGAAGTCCTTCTGTCCAGAGATGACGCAGTAAAGATTCTCGTAAGGATCTTTGTGTACTGAAACGGGAAACGCAACACGTTGTTGTTGTTGTTTGTTTTTTTTTGTTTTTTGTTTTCATCAGGCAACATGGCGAGCAGATCTTACAAGACGTGATGGCGTTGGCTTCGCCGAGCCAGAAGTTGACGGCGTCGGGGAACTTCCCTGAACAAAGGACAAAGGGATAAGCGACGGGCGCGCAAATCAAACGGCGCGACCGAGCGCGCACGCTCACCCAGCGCCGTGCTCATCCAGGCAACGTGCGCCTCCACGTCGTCCGTCAGCTCGGGGAGCTCCTCCAGTAGGTTGGAACACTGCTTCTGAACGTAGAACACGCCCCGCCGCTTCACCTGATGCACACACACACACACACAAACACAATTGATAAAATGTTGGTCTCATTTTTGGAATCGACGACACACACACACACACAAACACAATTGATAAAATGTAAGTGTTAGTCTCATTTTTGGAATCGACCTCATTCGTACCTTTCCTTGGATGACGTCGAGCACGGAGGAAAAGCTCATGCGCCGCTCCTCAGGCATCACGAATCGATCGCCTTTGACGGCGTCGGCGTAACCGTTGGGGGTCACCGCCACACTGATGACCTTGGAGCCCACCTTCTCCCTGCAGACAGGAAGCGAGAGAGGCCCGCGCTCCAGCCGGGGGTGTCCTCGGATGCCTGTCGGCGGGAGTTTTAAACATCCTCCTACCTGAGGTACGCGGGCGTCCACCTGGACAGAGCCGGCCAGTGATCCAAGGCGTTACGTATGACGCACGGCTTGTTGGGAGCGATCCATTGGCGGTAGAAGTCAAGCGGCTCGGGTGGACCGTCCACGTAAGGCACCGATTGGGTCAGATACAAATCTGAAACGTTATCATCATCCAACATTGTTGGCAGTGGTATGTAGTCATGCCGATGCAAGTAGAAATAGTGGAGGTAGTTAGCAGTGTTGCGAGTTGCAATATGGTTCACAATCGTAATGCAAATAAATTAGTCATGGGAGTGTTCGCCTTAAAGCAGAGTAAATTTAACACAGCAAAAGTGCAGTACTTCAGCTTGTAGGCAGAAGTGGTAATTACCAGTACGTACTCGGTAGTAGAAGTACAGCACTAGTAATATTACTTAAAGAAAAAGTAGTGCTGTTATTATTGTCGAGGTACTGGTAGGACGGGGTGTATAACTAGCAGAAGTAATTAGTAGTATTAGTAGAGTGGGTGGTGTTAGCAGGACTAGTCTTGTAAGTTATCCAAATAGTATGAGAACAAGTCGAGGAAGAATCAGTATTAGTAGTAAGGTTATGAATGATATTAGTTTTAATCGTGTATGCATAGTAATAGTGTAAATATCATTAGTACTAGCATATTGGTAGTCATAAGTATGTTACAAGTAAAGTCAGCGCTTTAAAAAATATCTACGGTCGTACCGTGAGCCTCTTCTGCGAAATGAACCAGTCGCTCCTTCACGGCGTCCATGACGTTTATCAATTGCTCGTGCGGTGTTCGATCAATATCACAAGTCACAAATCACATTTTTGTCCGCAGCCACTTCGCCCATGCTTGTTTTGTTGACAGTCTCTGCGCCTGCGCAATGAGTCTTCGTCAGCCGCCTTCTTCCGGTTGGCCTATCCCAGCTGCGCGGAAATGCAAATCAAAGGAAGCAGTTACGTCACCAAACTTTTCCAGACAGAAATATTAATGTAATGAAATCAGTCTTTTTGCATGGAGACATTACAAATCTCGATGAATTGTAAATGATTGTACGGAGTGACGATGACGTTTTTCCTCTAAGACATAAACAAACGCGCTGTACTGCGCGTGCGTAATATGTCGTCACATGTGGGGATTATCCGTTCACAGTTACAGGGCGGCTCTATTCTCGGAACTTTTAAAAAACATTTTTTTTTTTTGTAAAACAAATTTTTCATCAACATATTGAATGTTTAAATCGTCTCCAGGTTGTACTACGAGAAGAGTGCAACAATTCGTCACTGTGACGTAAGTGAGCCGCCTGGCCGAGTCTGGAACTGTGCTAGCGCTTAGCATGGTAACTGATGTTTCGCTTATGTGAGTTTAGCTTCGCCCCCTGCCCCCATAACACAAACACACACACACACAAACACACACACAAAGGTACACGCGCTCGACAGAATGGACCGAACCTTCTGGTCGAGTGGTTCGAGTTTTCGTCGCCTTTTAATGACTCATGATAACGAATGATGAACAAGCAGGCATGGATGCTGCGGCTATTTAGCGTCCCCAGTGACAGGCTGATGTCATCAACTTTGGTACCGACGAACTTCCATCTTATAAGATAAGATATCCTTTATTTGTCCCACACGGGCGGGGGAAAATTTACAGTCTACAGCAGCAAAATTGGGGGGGGGTGTAGAAAGAAGTAAAACAAAGTGTTAGCATTCACAAAAATAAATGTTTCAGTTTCAGTGTACACAGTTCAATTAAGTGCAATATAAATATAGATAAGGTGGGTGTACTCTTTACAATTGTTTTTCACCTCATTTTATTTATTTATTTTTTTTTATTTGATTGACAGCTGGAGGTCCGCAACGGTTGAATATTTTGAATCACAGTGTGACGTGACGTGTGGATTTTTCTTGTCTTTATTTATTTATTTATTTTAATTGAGGTTGCAATTGACTGAGACAGATTGACATTGATGTGCAAGGACAGTGCCGCCGTGACGGAGAAAGTTTGGACCTTCCGTCCGGATGGGGAACAGCGCTCTCAAGTCCCACCTGGAGACTTCCCAGAAGACGGGAGTATTCCAGCTCACTGGAAAAGGACTTCCGGAGGTGAGACATGTCTGGTACCAGCGTGTTTGGGTACCATTTTAGTTTGACGGTCTGCATTTTGAAGTATGGTTTGGATTCTACTGTCATCGTGTTCTAATACTGTCCAGGCTCAGCAAGTTGTTGTATTATATACTGTATCTGTTTTCAGGTACAGTCAGCATGTACGTGTTTCACAGTAGTACCACCTAGAGCCACATAATTTGTATGTTCCGGTTCCATGTTGTCTTTGACGGTCAGCATGTCCTGGTACCTTATTGTCTTCAGTTTCCCGAGGAACTGCAGCGGCTTACGGCAAACCTCCGAACCGTGGACCTGTCTGACAACAAGTTGGAGTCGCTTCCTCCTTCCATTGGAAACTATGCGCAGCTCCGGAGTTTGACCCTCAACGCCAACAGGCTGGGTGAGTGCAAATCGTCACGATCCAAAGGTCAGTGGCGCTGAAACGAGGCATCAAACTCTTCAACGCTCACGTGGGGTTGCTTTTTGGTCCTCAGGCGGACTCCCCGACGAGATCGGGAAGCTGAAGAAACTGGAGACTCTTAGTCTGAGTTCCAACCGGATCCAGCATCTCCCGCCCACCATGGACCAGCTCAAGGCCCTGCGGACCCTCATCCTGGCTGGGAACCGCATCTCGGAGTTCCCTACCGGACTCGGAGGCCTGAGACACCTGGATCTGCTGGATTTGTCCCGCAACCAGATTCAGAGGGTGCCGCCGGAGGTGTCAGAGTTACAAGTCATTGAGATCAACCTCAACCAGAACCAGGTACCAAACAATTAGCCCGGGGGCTGCAACAGGTTCCCAAAAAAACTGGAGCAGGGTCTTGTTTCCCACTTTGTGATATCACCTTTTCTTGGAGCAGCGTTTCGGAAGGGAGGAGACAAACCGCTGAAGTTTTGCGGGTGGTCTTGGTTCCCATTCTGGCTTGATCTTCATCCCTGCAACAGTCCGGGCTCTCGTATGTGACGCTTTGTAATGCGCCAGACACTTTCCGTGGGAGACGGGTCTGGACTGCAGGCGGGCCAGTCGAGTAGCCGCCCTCTTTTGACGACCAAGCCGGGCGGTCGCAGCACATGCAGAATGTGCTTGGGCAAAAGACGCTCCTCGGAGGGCACCGTATGTTTCTCCAAAACCTGTACGGGCCTTTCAGAATGAGTTCCCCATGCCATTGGCACCAACGCGGCTCTGTGCCATCTCGCACGTCGCCTTTTAAACTTTGCGTCCAGAACAGTCCGGACGGCTCTTTTCCTCCCCGACGTCCGCAATTTCCATAAACAAATGGAAATGTGGACTCGTCAGACCACAGAACACCTTGCCACTTAGCCTCTGTCAAGCTCAGCCGAGCCCGGGCCTAGAGAAGCCGGCGGCGTTTCCGGCTGTTGTTGAGAAACGGCTTTTGCTTTGCGTAGTCTACTTTGCGCTCAACAAATGTCACGCCCGACTGGATTGACCGTCATCGATTTTGGAAAGTGTTCCAGAGCCGGTGAGGGGATAGATATCGGATCCGTCCAATGAGACCGAACCCGCAGATCTGCCTTGGGAACCATGGAAGTTGTGCTGGTCTTCCAGATCTCGCTGCTGTCGGCGGATGTGTCTCGGTGCCCTCGCCTCAAAGTTCTGCGCGTGGAGGAGAACTGTTTGGACCTGGCCGCCATCCCGCTGTCCATTTTGAATGAGTCGCAGGTGTCTCTCTTCTCGGTGGAAGGAAACCTCTTTGAGGTCAAGAGTCTACGGGACCTGGAGGGCTACGACAAGGTGAGGACGCTCCGGCGTGAAAGTTGATTTTCCGCAGGCGTTTCAAAAAATAAAAATAAAAAAATGTAATAACCGAAAACGAGCAAATTCATGGACTGAAGAAGTAAGATTTCCTTTGGGAAATGATCTGCAAAATCATCATCGGTATATTCGGTTTCCGGTTGTTTTATTTATTTAGGGTGAAAAGAAAAAACTGACCTGGCTGACTGCGCAGCCTCGATCGACCGGGTCGAGGAGTCTTATTTTGAAGGTCTCCCAGCCCGGTCAGCTGTTTTGAAAGCACGTCACTAGAAAGTATCGACGGCTCCGATGAAGGCCGAAGCGACGGCCATAACTGCCAATCTTCTGCAAAAGAGAAAACTTAAAGCGAATGGAACCATTCGTAGATAAGATGAACGCCGTAGCGCTTCAACATCGGTTGTCCCTCTCGGGCAAAGCGAAGACTTAAAGCGTAAACTCGCCACTTGAGCTGGACATCTGAAACACGCTGCACGTACTAAGACAATAAATGTTAGTCGAGCCCCCAGACTGTTCATTTATTCCGCACGGCAATAAAATATCAACATAAGTGTTGTTGCTATGGCAACCCGCTCTGCGCTTCGGCCAATCAGAGAGCAGCATTTGACCACCGCGTCTTCCCTCCCAGTACATGGAGCGTTTCACCGCCACCAAGAAGAAGTTTTCCTGAAAAAGCGCCACTGCGTTGTCGTCCTCTTCCGACGCAAAACGGGAAGGAGAAGTGGAAGAAGAGCCAAGAGACGATCCCGTTGTGTTTCCCGCCAGTTAGCGCCGCTTGTGTCCCGCCAGGAAGTCATTTGTTCCCCCCCCACCCCCCGCCGCCGCAGCAGACTTGCCGTGGCCATCCAGAGGAACAGAGCGGAAATGGAAACCGTTCTCTTTGAGTCACAAAGGCTCATCAGCTGCATGTTTTTCCCCGCCGAGGATGCAGAAAAGAGGAAGTCTTCGGATGCCCTTCGTCTGATGGCGTTGACGTGTCAGCCATGTCGGTGTGTTTGCATAATAGCTGCCATGCGGGCCTCACTAATCGTTGTTTGCCCTTAGCCAGCGTCAAGCTATTTCTGTTTCTTTTTGTCACATGATTGAGCGATGAACTCTCACGATAAAAGCATACCAAGGACACTAAACTGTTTTCACTAATGATGTAGGCTTGTAAAAAAAAAAAAATTGCTTTTGTTGATCAAATATTAACTCAATTCTTTCATGGTATCATTCATAATTTAAATTGAATCAACGAACAATCTCCATGAAGAAAATGTCAAGTGTATTTATTGACAATAAATCAATCGGTTGGATATATCAGTTAAAAAAAAAAAAAGTAACATTTTACCTCATTTGTAGCTGTAGCTCATCCCTGGTGAGGATCGTGTTTTTGGGTTGTTTTTTAAAAAAAAAAGTCACATTTTACCTCATTTGTAGCTGTAGCTCATCCCTGGTGAGGATCGGTGTTTTTGGGTTGTTTTTTTTTTTTTGGGTTGCCAGCCAATCGCAGGGAACACAGAGACAAACAAACATCCGGCGATCACACTCACACCTAAAATTTAGTGTTCAATCTGCCTGCCATGCATGTTTTTGGAACGGGGGAGGAAACCGGAGTACCCAGAGAAAACCCACGCCAACAGGAAGGCCGGAGCCGGGATCGAACCCACAACCTCCACACGGTGAGGTCGACGCGCTCCATTGAACGTGATTCGCAATTTATTGTCTTATGTTTTTCGGTTAGCATAAATGCACAGAAAATACGTGCAAGCGTCTTATTTCGAAGGCGTAGAATTCCACGTCCGGTGCGGTCACCTGACGTCACCGTCGTCACAACCTCGGCAAAGCAGTGCCCCCCGCAGCAACCTCCCCCATGGTCACCAACCCGCCTGCCGACGAGGAACTTTCTTCCAGAACTCTTCTCCCGGTTTTCCTTCTCCATTTTTTGCGCCGCGAGTTGACGTCAGATCGAAGCGGGCAAGCGTGTTTGTGAGCGCACCAGGCAGGGGGGGTTGGGGGGGGTCAAAAGTGCACTTTCTCTTTTTCCCCCCCACATTCGCAGGACGTGACCGTGCGCGAGGGCACGTCAGTTACGTGCGCGCTAGTGGCGGACAAACAAAACATGCTCGGGCTGGCGCTGAGGTTCGCGCTGGTCGCTGTGCTAACCTGCTGCGCGATCGGTGAGTGCACTGCATCAGTTGATCGTTTTTGATCGGCGAATTGATTGCTGGTGGGAGGGTCAGGTGCGCTACTTGTTACGTTCGAATAAATGGGACTTTTCGCACTTTCGGTCAATTTTCGTACTTTGACGCGGTTGAAAGTGTGCGCGAGCCTCCTTCGTTCTCCCGATGATTTGGAATTCCAGCGTGTTATCGATCACCGGTCGCGAAACGCCGTGTTGACGTCATCAAAACACCGCAGCGGGGTGACGTCGGCGTGGATGGACGGGAAGAGGGATGATGTCACGTTTGTGTGCGTGTGTGAGGGATGAGCGTTTACTGGACAGTATATTTTTTAACGGGCAAGATCAAATGCACAAAAAAACAAAAAAAACAAAACGAAACAAAGGCCATCAGGTATCTTCTGCGTCATCTGTCAGGCGGCGTGACGTTCAGCCGGCACCCGAGCAACCAGACGGCCTCTCAGGGGAACGCCGTCCGTCTGGGCTGCGCCGTGGAGGGCGCGGAGGAGCCCGACGTGGTTTGGATGAAGGACGGCGCTCGGCTCCTCAGCAGCGACCAGATGTTCATCGCCCTCGGGGAGAAACACTGGGAAACCTACCACAGGTACCCGGAACCAAAGGGGTCCGCGGGAGCCGCGCTCGGTCAAGGTGGAAAACAAGTTGCTCTCTCTGTCGTGGTGGTTGTTGCCACTTGGCTTCATCTGTTTCTCGCCTTCGCCGCGTGGTCACACCTTGTAATAATTGTAACGCGAGCACCAAGAAGAATGTTCCGGTTGAACTCGAAGTCAGCGAGAACCGAGAGACCTCGATTTCCCACAAGACTTTGCCGGTCTGAAACCAGTCAAGCTGTGTGATGATCTCACCGGAATCGCCACACACATTTGGATTTTAAGACACCGAGCGGCCGACCAGAACCTCGTGGAGTGGTCCCAGTCCCAGTCCCAGTCCTTTTTCCAAATTCTAGTTCGAGTCCAAACTCCACTTTTGCGTTTCAGCGTGAAGTCGGTCCAGCAACAGGATGCGGGCCAGTACTGGTGCGAGGTCGACTTCCACGGACAGACATTCTCATCCGAACGGGCCTGGATCACGGTCGAAGGTGAAGAGCAAACGGGAACGCGGTCTCGTGCG